AAAGTCCAAAATGTGCAAGTAAAACAACAAGATTAATCAAAGCAATTACTAATTAAAATACTCAAGGAAGATCATCAAAAATAATTAATCAAAACATCAATTAAATCACTTAATTAAACCTAGAAATACTCAGAACACATACAAAAATAAAAATAAAAATAAGGCGCTAATCACAAACAAAATATGTCTAAGATCAATCAATAAGATAATTAACGCGCCGCAGATACATAAAATACATTCCTGAGAAATAAACACACTAATAATTCAAACAATTCCAAATAAAATATGTCACATGAACGTATTCAAATAAGGAGTAAAGACCCCTAAGTACTACGAAATTGAATAACTTCTAAGGAATGAATCCCAAACAGTCACGTCTAAGAACAGAAGCGGCCTGATCAGGGCCAAGCATTAGAAAAGAAAAGAACGTTACAACACAAGGAACCTCGGAACCAGCCGAAAATACCCCACACAAAAAATCAGAAAGAAGGAAAACGTGATTGTCCAAAAATTCAATCCAACCAAAATCAATTCCGAGAATGAACATAACGAATACGCTGTGCAAATACCAATTAGAATTTTATCCAATACACACAAAATAATACTAATACAACCTAATGCATGTACAAAATAACGTTTGGCCAAAAATTTACAAATACTACCAAGATACACATATACACATAAAATGAAAATACAATTAAACTGTAAAAATTTCGTACATAATTCAAATGAGCAATGAGATCAGTGATACTTAAAAAAAATTTAAACTGCAATACCTAAACAAATACACAAATAGTCATTACGTTAAACCATATCAAGTCAAAAATATTTCACTGTAATTCAAATCAAGCCAAAAAAAATCAACCAGCAAGAGTGAAGTGCCGCTAAAAATTTTTCAAACCTCAAAGTAAACACTAGTGAGTAACAACACCAGACTTAAGTCCCCTTAGTAAGACAACAAAAATTTCAGTAATTCTAAAAATCCCTTAAGTCCACAAAAAAATTTCAACTAGTCAAAGAAATCAATCAAAGCTGGACTGAAGCACGTTACTAGAACACTAGATAAAATATCACAAATCAAAAAAGTGTTCAAAACAAACCCCCCAATTTAGGCGAAAACTGAGATCTATTCTGCATCAGACTTCTTCCAAACGTTGTATAGTAACCTAAGTAGCAGCCTTCAGCAACACCTCCACCCAAACAAAAGAAACAAAGTAACTCTTTACCGCGTCCATGTAAGCTGAGAAAAGCGCTGTATTATAAATGACAGACTCAAACTTTACGTATCAAGCAAACCTCCAGACACGTTGAAAGAGAACATAAGATCTCTTATCTCGGAAAGGAAAGTGCGCTGACTGAAACGTTACAATCCTGAACCAACACAATGAAAAAAAAAACAACAATAGTTTTCTCAGATAACAAGTTCCTGTTTGCCCCCGGTGTAAGAGGTCAAGTGCCACCATGAAGTGCAAGTATTTACAAGAAAACGAGCTTTCAGGACATTACACTTACAACTTCACGCAAGACCTAACTGCAAGCAACAAATGCAAAGTTCTCAAAAGTGCTAAACTAAAAAAAAAAAAAAAAATACTCATAACTCGTAACTCAAAAATCCCTAAAAATCTCACACAAATGAAATCCATAACTCAAATTCTACCTATTTTCCTATAGACCACAGAAATCTCAATTCTTCCACAGAAACTAAACATCAGAGAACTTACATTTTACGGACCTTGGCAGAAACCACCAGAAAACAAAACAAAACCTTGATACAACTATCTTGATACTACCAATTCAAATACAAAACTTAAGCCAAAACAAGAATTAACCCCAAATTCAGCAACAAGTCCAACCAAGAAAGAAAATTCAGTAACTCAATCACATCTATTACGATTAACTAGCAAATTCAAGACAAACTACTTGTAATCAACAGAAAATTCCCGCACATGAGTACAGAGCAAAAGTAACTAATCTTCTCAAACTTATCTCAAAAATTTCCACAAACCAAATTCCCGTTGTCAACCAAAATTCTCATTAAAATTCACTTTCTACAATTCACAAGACTAAATTTTTCTACTTTTTAAACAATTCTCACATGACAACTTTTCACAAACTTAAAACTCAGAAGATAACTAATCTCAATTACTCTGAAACATTAAACTAATTAGAACTTCACTCAAGCTGATGAATTCAATCCAAAAAAAATTAAATAACCAAACATCACTATTGCTGATCTCAGGCAAAAATTCAAATCTAACCCATGTTCACTTTAAAACAGAATTTTGCAATTGCAAAACAACCTTCAATTTTTTTTAACTCATTCATTTGTATCATTATGCCTTCAGAACTTATAAAATTCATTGCTCAATACTAAATTAAATTTTCTAACACATTACACAATATACTGGAATTATAACAAAACATTGTAAATCAAAACGCAATAATATACTACGCTAGAGAATCATGAAAACATTACATACATTTCACAAAATATTATTCAATTAAGTCAAAAAAATCAAAATTTCTCTAACGTTACCCCTCACAATTATACATTTCACAAGATTCTAGGTTAAATAATTAGCAAAAACACACACAAAAAAATTTCTAGCTACGCATAGCTATGGCTTGTCTCATTCAGTAAAATAATTAGAGTCTTTAATCTCTTTCTCTTAGAAGTGCTCAAAAAAATGAGTCCAGTTTTTACCGACAAGCACTCGAAACTTTATACAAGGATACACAAATAGCATAGGATTATCGTGAAATAATTCATTTTCCATCTTGTATCAGAAATCACGTCGAAAATCAAAAGTATACATCCAGAAAACACTCAAGGATTTTCAACAGTAAAAATATACAGTATCTATTCTCCTACATTAAAAATATATATTTTTCCTAACTTTAAAGTTCAATTCTGTGTGCCTAACGTTAAAGTCCAAAATTCCTGAAATTCACACACATTTTCAAACTTTATCACTCTCGTATTAACAAATAAGACACCTTTAACAAAAACTACTAAAATTAAAGCTTGGAAATTCCTATATTGTTAAATGTTAAATATGAAACTACTTGCCGTTAAAGGGAGTGATCGTATAGTGAAACGTGTACAGCATTTTTGCGTTGTGAAAAAAATGCATTCCGGGACCGCGCCGTGAGAGGATCGAAAACATAAAACATATACAAGATATAAAGGAAAAGTTCATATTAAATATATAAAGAAAACATACTGTAAGAGGTTCCAGATTAAATATCAGTTTATTCAATTACAACACAATAAGAAAAATCTTAACCTCATCTGAGAGTCTGTTCATTTAAATTCATAAAAAAACTTAAGGTTTGTCTGGTGATTTAAAAGAAAGGAAAGGGAAACAATTTATGGCCTGAGAGTTAAATTTTAGATTCGACGTTGTTTTTTACTGCTAAGGACGTTTTTGAAAAAACTTGCCTAAAGTTCCAACACACCAAAAAAAATAATACTTATCTTGAGTGGACATCTTGAAGTGGAGGAGAGCTCATATCTTAGCTCTATCCTTACGTCACTTGGCAAATCCGCAAGACAGAGACTCGAACGGCACGACAATAAATTACATCAGCTATACCGTCAAATCTTACGCCTGCTACTGGTTTCCATAGAAGAAAATTATTCCCACTGGAAGCAAGAGAACAGCTTACTTACACCGCACGGCTGTCTGCCTAGACTCTCAGCTCCACCAAGGAAAACGTAGACAATTAAGCTAGGCATTTTAGAGAACGGCTAACGCAGGCTTCCAGTTGACTAAGGTGACATAATTCCTTCTGTTTTCAAGTCGGAGTTCAGAGGACATCGTCCTGACTTTTGCCGATACAGATAGAGACCCAAGTCTCTGTTAATTTTTTTTGTTATTCGCTCAACAGTTTTTTTTTTTTTTCTTCGCATTTTTGAGAAAACCCGCGGCCGGGGAGCATAATTGCCGCTCCCCGCCGGAAGCACTGCTCGATGCCGACTAAATCTTTTCTTTCTTTCTCCTTCGCAACACCCACAAGTTTTTTCTCAGTCTCCGTCAACAAGTCCGTCAAGCCCGAAAGTCAGCGAATCCAAGCAGTGAGTGCCTAAGCGAGTCCAGAGTAAGTGTGTAAGAGAGTCTCGCCTCTTAACCAAACGCGGCCGGGGAGCATATTTGCCGCTCCCCGCCGGAAAACACCTCTCGGAGTCACTTACATTTTGTCCAGCAAGCCCAAAAATCAGCGAGTCAGTCCGAGAGTCAGCCAAAAGTAAGTGTGTCCAACTCAAATTTCCTTCTTCTCCTTCACCAAACGGGCTCCCACTATGGCTTCACTTATCGCCCCCTTAATTATGGCAAAATCTTCGTTTTCAACTCCAGAATGCGGAAATAAGGGTGATCGCGCATGCGCGCCCTTCTTCACTTAGCCAACAACCGGACCCTCAATCGCCAAAAACCTGAATGACTTACATTGAAAGACAAGTAGCAACCTTTGACCTTTCCGTCACGTACTTTCCTCTCTTAAGGTCAACTAACAATGAAAATTCTTTCTCGAACATTCTAAAGCGCGCGAAATCATGACTTGGCGAAAATTGCCTCCCTTTCCCTGCTTCTTTTTCACAATGAATAAAAGTTTGTACAAGATTTACAAATAGAGGAAAATAAATAATACTCTTTTAAACTAAATAATATTTCCCAGAAGCATCTGTTTTCCCCAAAAATTAAAGCCTTAAATTAAATAATTCAGAATCAAAATAAAATTTAAATTTCCATAAATCATAAAATCATTCACCTAATTTTTTTATAACGCTATCAGATAATTTCTCTACATAACAAATATACTTACTCCACTTTGAATTCTAGTAAGCAAAACGTCAAAATCTGTACTTTATTTCTGCTGTTTCAGTTAAAATTGAAATGAATATTTAAAAAATCATACCGTGACTTCTGCTTGTTATGCAACTAAAATATAAACAATTATTAATTTACATCATTAATTCCAGAAGACCTTAAATTCCTCACCTGCAACCAGGGACGCAAACAGACATAGGGCATTGTTGGTGATGATGGTAGTTTGAACATGTGAGTGGACATTCAGTGACACATTCTGTGGGTTCCATTCCAGCAGAAACGTTACAATCTGGCGCCACATGAGGGGGTGGTGTGAGAAGAATATCAGCAGTTGTTGCCTCATGGCAATCCCAGTGTCCTTGAGAACAGGCGCTGTAAAGAACAGATATCACTGTGGCCATCTCCGAAATCATTCGCAAGATATGAGAAATTTTTTTTTATGAAACTAAACGGATTATAAGAAGTAGGTACATAAGTAATAGAAGTAATAAGAATCTGATTACTTCCGTTATTTAATATGAGATAATACAACATTATAAAATTTCGATCATCATACATAACGTTAGTATGCGGACGGCTGAAGTCTTGTTGCATATCCAATGTGGCGTGAAACACAAGTAATGGAATAAAATTTTAACAGGGAAAATAAAAACTTATTTTTTAAGTGCAGCATTTTTGTAGATACTTCTGTTACAAAAGCAGTGAAATTACCTTTCCTAGATTCCCCATCTGAAGATATGGGGAATTTTAATTTCACAAGTTTCTATAATGCGTTCGAGCTTTCTGGGGAGTTCTAATAGTGAAATTCTTATGACGTATTTGCAGAATAAAATGATATTAAGAGCAAGGTGACCACCTGGATATTAAAGCGACTTCACCAGTGGGAATTTTTAATGAATGTAAGCAATTTAAAATGCTTTTTGAAATATAAAATTAATGAGAACTTTTCCACATATTAAATATTGAAAAGTCCAGGAAAAATTCAATATATTCTGAAACAAATAAAGCAATCTAAGATCAGTGATTGATGTGCAAAACCATAAATATTAAACCTATGAAAATTTAAATAATGCTTTATAGCGGGTACTGAACAGTGAATTATTAATTTAATTTTGTTATAAAGCTTTATTTAACTTTACACTGTATATATATATATATATATATATATATATATATATTCATCTCAGGTGTGTCAGTTAGAGCGTCAATTCATAAAGAAATTTAATCCCAAAGATCCCGGATAATGGAATATCTTAGTTATTGGAATAATTTTGTATGACGAAATTCTTTTATGAAGCGAGTGACAGTGATATGATTTTGCCGTATTGAGGGATCTCCATGAGAGCTTCACCTTTTAGACGCGGTTCTCACTGAGCTGTGTTTATCGTTATTAGTAATGTAAAAGCTAACGTCTAATTGCACACTGTGAAACTGAGAAGAGCTATAGTATTTTCGTGGAAAGTTCCAGAAATGTAAAATATTTCTTTCAGTAAAATTAATTTTATGAAACTATCATCCGTTTTGTGTGCAATTAATCCCTTACGAGCCTGCGCGTACGCAGCAGTATTTAAAACAAATATTGTGTAGCAAATAAAAATTTTTGGGTCCGAATAGGACGTATACTAAGCTCTACGTAGTTTAGATAAGTATGCTGTTTCATTAATAAAGTTCCAATATATATCATTTTGCAATATCCAGGAGACTGTAGTTTAAAGGTTTGAACTTCCGTTAAAAATCAACGATGGGTATAACATTTTTTTCTGCAATTCTCTCCATCATCCCAATACAAGCAATAATATTTCCGGAAAAGTAACTCTTGCAAAATTATAAAAATTTTTAAAAATATTTTAAACATAAATATACAATTTGTAAAAGAAATAGATTTCTTTGTATCTTTTTTAGCAAATTTTGTTAGAACGTAAAATACTTTGCCATATGCGTCTATAACTTTTGAGTATAAATACAGACATCTGTTGCAGAAAATGAATTATTTTTATTGGCTTCTTATCCGAAGTAGTCATACAGCTGTATACTCTAAAAGATCGTTTGAAATATAATAGTTAAAAGCTCAAATGCATCATCGTCACTTTCTGACAAAGTACTAAAGAAAGACTGAAATGCAGATGAAAATTCGAGGCAGATTCGCATGTTATCTTTGTAACATGATACTAACTTTTAGCTATTCATAGAAGATTTAAACCTTCAGACTCTAAAAATGATAGATACCCATATTTAGAAATTTTTCTGAATATTTAACACACATCTCTACATATAATAAAAGGAAGAGTCTGTCTGTGTGTGTCTTTCGTTCGTGATACGCGTAAGCTTATAGACACAGGATATGAAATTTGGTACATAGGTGTATCTAGAGAAGAGTCAGTGCATCTCGAAGAAATATTTTCAAAATTCGAATCAGATTTTTTTTATTTTATATTTTTTTATGAAATCGCATCAAATCGATAATTATCTTTAATTATATCAACAACAATGGCACGCAGTCATTGTTGCTGATATCAGCCCTGTTGCCACTCGGAAAAATGAGGGCGAAAATTAGCGTTTTAAGAGTTTTAATTAATATCTCTGATTTTAGCTACTCTTTATTTTTGGAAAAAAGTGGACGTTGACCTTTTCCAGGACCCAGAAAAAATGTAGAAAGTTTGGTGACGATAGTTTAGTAGTGACTGAGTTATTAGCGAACAAACACACAGACTTCCTTTATACCATTTGAGTTCTTAGGATTTTACAACGGGAAGTTGGTTAATTTATTTCTTAGGATAATTAATATTTGTCTTAAGGAATATTGTTTATTTTATTGTAATATTTCTTACATATAATGCATTTTATTAAAATTTGTTTTACAAAGTTGTTTCTGCAGAGTAAAATTCTGTGCAGTTTTTTAATTTAATGCTTGGTGTTTAATGCTTGGCTCTTTAGGCATTTTCCCGGTACATTAAAAAGTCAGACGAAGGCGCGTATCGACTAGTATTACATAAAATAACAAAGAAGCTAAAGTATAAAGTACGGCATATTTAACCATGCTAAAAATTGCTCCGCTAAAAACAGTTTTGCAAATAAAAGAATACATGACTGCAAAAACGCATATGACTTTTCATTATTATCTCTAAACTCTTAACACTCTTCATATCCACTTCAAGAATCCATTCTAAACTTACAACTCTGTACATAATATCTCCCGCATTAACTATCATTAATCATATAAAACTGATTCCTTTCTTTAATTTGCGCCTTTTAAAAAATCCTTTTAATTATCGAAATGTACGTTATAATACCATAAATCTAAAATATAGTGTGAAATTCGGGCAGAGATCAATTTCTTTATGTCTGGTCTTATTTCACTTAGTTTTAACCGTAAATTAGGATCCACTTTTAATTTTCTGTATTTATTTTACAAATATCACATATATGAAATTCGTTGTTCACACAAATATGTTGTGCAAAAAGGCAATAAAAATGTATTTGAAATGCCTTTAAATTCTTTTTTTTTCGGTTTAGCTAAAAGTTAAAAAGTTTAGCTAAAGTTTAGCTAAAGTTAAAAAGTGTGTTGCTTTTAAAATATTCAGTTAGGGTTCGATCACAGGAAATTTCTATCAATTGTTCTTTTTCTTTATGAGACAAAATTTCAGGTGCATTTGAACAAAATTTATTGCTAATCCAATTTCCTTTTCCATGATCCTTGGAAAAATACATGTTCAAACGCTATATCATTGAAAAACAATGATTTTTAATGTTGGATGCTAATTCTTCATTTAGTTTGAACTTATTTTTGGTTAGAAAATTTTCTAAAATTAGTAAAAGCTTAAAATATTATTGTCAAATTTTTTGATTATTATTAAAAAACTCGAATTATAATTCAAGTTTTTTTTTATCATCGCATCTATTTTATCCCTAATGGGAAACCAATTAACACTTTATCCTTCGAAGTTCAGAAAGACGATTTAAAACTTGTCCCTGGATAACCACCTAACTTCGGAATGTAGTTTCATGTTCACCGCCCATCTCGTGGCATAAAATCGTAAATATGCTTTAATTCTAAGTTAGGATTTAATAAAATTATCAATTTTCACAACTTGATTCAAAACGATTTTCAAGTTTTCGGGGACTGTTTCGGCTACTAAAGCATCACGACGAATGGAGCAGTGAGTAAATTTAGTTTGAGGTGCGACTTTTTTTATTTCAGAAATAACACCGGAATGTATTCCTGTTAATGTTTGAGCTCCATCACTGCATACGGCAATGCACTTATTCTAAGGAATATCATTACCAGACATAAAATTGTCAATTAATTGGAAAATTTCATTTGCAGTTGTTCTGTCATGAAGGTATTCACAAAATGAATATTTTTCGGTAATTTGCTTATCTTCTTCTAAACGTATGTAAACTAATAATTTAGAAAAGTTAGTTATATCAGTACTTTCATCAACTGCAATGCGCAAAATACTTACTGTGTTTTATTTTTTGAATAAGTGTCTACTTTATGGAATTTGCCATTTTATGAATTCGTCAAATTACTGTATCATTTGATAACGGAATATTATTAAGTTCATTTGCCGCTTTTACATTGAATAATGTTAAAAGGATAGTTTTAGATTCTGGTAATATATCGTTTTCTCCAATAATGTGAGCCTGCCCAGTCTTTGCAATTCTTAGGCTTACAAGGTAACTAGTTTCCAAAGGTTTTTCACTTGAAGTAAAGAAACCTTTCATTACTTGTTTACTTTTTTGAAGTCGAAAATTTCCTCTCAAAATATTCTTCAGATTTATCCTTTAAATCGGCTTCAAGATGTCTTATAAGAAAAACAATTTTTCTAATTACTTAATTTACTAATTACTTTAATTTTACTAAAAAGACAGTATTCTTTGTGCTAGTAGTTTGTCCTACATCTATAACCTGTAATTCATCACTTTTCCGCTTAGCCAATCCTAGCCATCTTTCCATATTGAAAAATCTAGGTTTGTTTTATTTTTTTTTGGCAAATATCTAAATGCGCAATATATTACGATATCTTTAAAAACAAACGACGATATTCTCAAATCGCGTAGAAAATAAGGAATAGAAAGCAAGAATACAAAATACCCGCTGTTTCAGAGACAGCAAATCGACGTAAAGAAATGATTCGAATTGAAAACAGAGCAAAATGAGCTCAGATATGGTGGCCATATAAGTGCAGACATAGTAATAAATCGATAAACTCTAAAAAACTTGATGCTATTATCTTCTTATAGGAACTAAATAAGAACTAAATAGGAATAAATAAATAACTAATAATAAAGAAATAAAAACGGATTATTAAAATTTATGAGCGGCTATTGACCTTGAACAAAGCATCTCATATAAATTTACGAGTGTTAAA